TATTTAGTTTGTAAACCATGACATTTATAAATGTATGGATAACCTGGTGAAAATCTGACTTGGTAAAATAAACACCAGTTTATTTTTCTTTTTATGAAAGGCTAAAAAAAAGCTAAATATTTGTGGTAATTTTTGACTGTGTAACGTTACAAACGGCACCTCATACATCCAGCCCCTCCAGAATTCTTCAACATGACTTTAAATCTTTGGCATCTTAAAGGAGATCATTGTATCAGACTCTTATGAGTTGCTGTGACTTTATGATCTTACAGCCACTTCTTTCAAAATGACAAAGAAAAAAACAAGACAGAAACAGGTTAAATTGTATTATGGAAGAAAAATGGACACATTACTGTAATTCTGATTTTATTTTACCAGCTAACACAAGAAGCTGTAACTCTCCTGTTAGCATCAGTACTGACTTGGCTTATCTTAGTTTAATTTAGCACAGTGAGCTAACCACCAGGACAAACTGTAATGCTGTGTTCACACCGAACAAAAGAGCATCAGGTTCACGTGCAAAGTCTGGTGGACGTGCGTCAAGCAGCGTCGGGAAGTGCTGCGGCACATCAAGCGCGATTAGAGCGGCACGATTTGAACGATTTGAGCGGTCGATGTGCTTGACGAATCGTACGCTGGAGTTGGAAAATCTGAACTTTTGCAGCTCGACGCACCGCGTCAACCAATCAGAGAGACTCCACTGTGTGACGTAGTGACAGATTCTCTGACGGGACAGAATGATGTCCACAGGAGGAGATATGTGCACCACTGCAGGTCAGCGGCTCATCAGACTGGACTTGGGACAAAAACTGCTCTGAAAGCGAGCCTCGAGTAACGTTTGCACAACATTCACTGCTGTCAGTTCAGAGTGAGTCCAGGTGAAAGCTGGATTTCTTCCAGTCTTCTCTCAGCAGGGACAGGGACTGGGGCAGAGATGGTGGTCTAACAGGAGACAGATGAATGAGGGACCAATAACTTCACCTGATATCATCCTGCACACAAACCTACAGTTCATAACGGGCCGATCTAAAACCTGTGGATCTTCCTTTTATTTGTTCTGTTTGAACTGTTCATCGTTCTGTGATCAGATGCTTTCATCCCATCAATAAACTACAGTTTTTAAAGTTTACTTTTAATTTTATTGTTGTTTTAACTTTAATGTACTTTTTGTAATGGTGCTACCAAACTGGTCCTCTGTTTTCTGAGGGTCCGGTTCATGTTCAACAACTACTTTATGTATACCAAAAGTATACTTGCCCAGTATACTGAGGACTGAGTATACTGAGCATAAAATAATGTCCTTTGTCTGTTCAWCTGTAATAAAGAATGAAGCAACTAGATAATCTAATYGRCTGGTTTTATTTTATTCTTTTAACAATTTCCTTGTTGCCAGTTAACATTATTTTATAGTTTCAGCCTGTATCTGACTAGAAATGGTGTTTCAGGAGCCTCTTAATGATGTTAGAAACTGGTTTTCTTTGGACTTTCTGATGATATGTGGAAGAGTTCAGCACAGAAACTGTTGAATGTGTTTTTCTTTTTTACTGTTTATTATAAATCAGATCTGATAACAATGTGGCAATGTGCATTCTCCACACCTTGATCCCTTATATCTATATGTATGTTTGTCTAGATATTGTATACGGCTGACCTCCTGACGTTTTTMTGCAGAGAAGAATTATGTTCCTGAAATTGAGAAATAATTCAAAATATCTTGAAAATGATTGTAAGCAATTTTTGTTCAATTAGCTAAACAAAATAAATGTTTATTCGTGAGTACGCTACATCACAGATGTGCTAAGATTAGGGGAACTGAGTTATCTAATCACAACAGTGATCAAAATGTATAATCTGAATTTTATTTATGTATTATGTGATTAATATGGTGTGTCTCTAGCAGAGTCTCTGAACAGGAAAGATAAGCTTCATGTGGAAACACTCAGCTTCAGAGTCTAGCTGGGTGAAAAAAATAAATAAAGGGGGGGGGGGGAATCACCTCCAGATCCACACACACACACATAAATATATGAAGCATTGGTAAAGGAGGAAGAGCAGGGAATAAAAACAAATAAAATAGAAAAAAATATTACAAATAGAAAATATTATGTGGGGGGGATGAGATGGAGAGGAGGGTTTTTCTTTCTTTTCTTCCATTTTTAAATCTATTTATTCATCCCTTTCTTCTCCTATTTCCTTTTGTAGGGGGACGGTGTGTGTGTGTGTGTGTGTGTKGGGGGGGGGGGGGGCTCATGGCTGTAATAACAGTTTAGACAGCCATGACTTCATAAGGTTTGTATTTCCAGCCAGGTGGTAAACAGTGTCCTGGTGTCCGTCAACATTTAGTTTATCAGCAGTTAAAGCTTTATCCTTTCTCACGAAACTGTTTGAGAAGTGGGTAAAGCTTCTTAAACAGTTTTTGAATAATAAATTTAAAAACACATTATTAGCATTCATTTCTTTAAAATTCTATTATTTGATTTAAAACTACGGAGCCCAGCTGGTGACAATGGAGAAAAAAATACTGCTTGCCCACAACTTAATAATGCATGGGCACAACACAATTATTTTGTTGCCATGTGTTATTAAGGCGTGGACATGTATTATTATCTTGTGGCCATGTGATATTTTTTATCCCATGTCARTGCTTTAAGTGGGCCGGTATGCAGTACCACCACTTCCCAATTTTACTCCTCAGCGTACCAGAACTTATTTCCTGAGTCCAATGCGTATTGGCACTTTTTCTGGTGTTGTAAAGCCTGTGTTTCCCATTTCCCTCTGCTCCCTGTACATAAAGCTCCAAACCTCGCAGGCTGAAAAGAAATTAAAATAAAAATAAATAAAAGGAGTGCGCGTTCTCGCTCTTGGCCAGCAGCGAGCTCTTCTTGCACACAGACTGAATTTATGAACAGAAAAGCATGACAAAGAACAGAAAAATAAGACAAAAAATGCATAAAAACAGGGAATCCTGTGCTGAACAGTAAAAACTGAGGAGTTTGAGTGACGGATCAGTTGAAACACATGAGGATGATGAGGCGTCGCTGGTGAGTGAGATACTGGTAAACATGAAAACAGCTGGGAGGCAGAAACTAAAGAGGATCCATTAAATGAAGAAAACTAAACAGAAATGCACAAAGAACAAAATGCAAGAAAAAACTTAGAAACTAAATAATGAATAAACCAGAAGGACTATGGCAAGACCTTTTGAGCAATAATTAATTCACAAGACAAACAGCAAAACACGTGATCTGAATAGAAATAAAAACACAGATCATGATAAAAAACAATATTCAGGAAGGAAACACAACAATAAACTATGAAATTAAACATCAAGGATACAACTTGAAAATATGAAGCATGATTTACCCACAAGTACAGGAGATAGAGTACCCGATAATTGTACTCAGGTAAGAATACCACTGCTTCAACATATTGTTTCTCAAATAAAAGTAAGACCTATCCCTCCAAGAAATTACACAAGAGTAAAAATGTTAAATGGACTGTACTTATATAGCGCTTTTCTATCCAACCAGGATAAAAACCTCTTCACAATCTATAATCTGTCATTTACCCATTCACACAGCACTCTATTAGGTCTCTGCAAAGCTAATACTGTACATACAATTATCTATGGAGACTAATCAGTGCCAATCACATTCATACACTGATGGGACAYACATCAGAGGCATTAGGGGTGAAATGTCTTGCCCAAGGACACAACAACTGAGACAGCTGGAACAGGGCTTATCAAACAGTTTATTTAGAGTTTAGTTTGTTTAGGCAGCAAAGAAACAGAAAAGTTCAATAAGCTGGACTCGCATTTAAAATGTAAACAATAAAACTTTATTAAGACACCGAGTTTGATTTTTCAGGCTGGTTCTACCTGATGTGTGACGTAGCTGAAGGTCAAACATCAACAGCTTCACTGTTCAGACACGAGACTCAACAGAACCTGGACCTCTTCTTTAGGTCCACACCACCAAGACTCAGAATACTGCTCCTCATCCTGCAGGTAATTTGACTAAATTATTATTTTTTCTTTCATTAGTTTGTCAACTAAAAAGTTAAGGTTGCTTTTTCCTCTTTGATTTCACATCTAAAAATCATCTCTTATGAAAGTAGAAATTTAGACCTATTCTGCAAAAACACAACATGAGACAGGATGGATCAGGTTTATTCCCATCTGTTGTAAAAAGAATTGTGCTTCCAAACGTGGTGATCACAAGCAGTTTCATGTCTGCCTGAAGCTTCACACCTACAGAGAAGGCAAAGCTGTTCTCCACAGTCATCTAACAAGAGCACTTTAATACTGCAGGCAAACACAGCCGTGGATTCTATGAGTATATGAGACTATTAGACAAGAATTAAAAACCAACTGTAGTCAAACGTGATGCAGAAAACAGATCTGTCATAAAACTGAGTCAGTGGTACATTTACAGAATGACATTAAAACAGAAGTGATCAGAAATCAATGCATAAAAATTAAATATGTACATTTATATAAACAATCTGGGAGCTTTAAAAATAARCATTTCTTCTACTTGAAGAAAAAAGCAAATAAGGTGCAAAGAGGCAACAAACTACCAAAAACTTCCATAAAATTCAAAAAGTAAAATTTAAGCAAACTCTGAGATATACAGCGCCCTGAATCATCTCCTGTTTTAACCCGAATCACACATTTGTCCAATGGTTACCTTGTGTCAACTTTTACATTTAGAAAGAAAATATAACACATTACATTTCTACATTACTTTAWCAAAGGCTTTTACTTGTCAAATAATTGGCTAAAAAATCTTCAACTCTGTCCTCGTCAATCCTTCACAGCTGATCACAAATGTGGCTACTGATAACAAAAAATAGGAAGAGACTAAACATATTGCTACAACATTTCACCAAATGGCAGAAGAGTATCTCAGACTTGGTCATGAAGGGTCATCTGGTTGAAACATGCAGCTGACAGAGATTGTAAAGACGCAGTTTTAAGGTCGCAGGTCTGGGATGTCTGGGGTAGGTTGCAAAGTCGAGGCGATCCCTTCAACCAATCAGCTGCTGCAGAAACAGGAAGGTTTCTTAGAGACATGAAACACAATAATATAGTACCTTAAGTATAACATGACGATTAAACATGGCTTATGATGCGTGAAGTGATCTAAATGGTTTAAATCAAGTATTTGATAGATTCCAGTTAGTAAATATTAATGGATTTATTTCCTCAGGGTTCAGTGCTTGGACCAATCCTCGTTATTACATAACAGTTACTAGACAGCATAAGATCATTTTCATCATTATGCTGATGATACTCATATTTATCTATGAATTAACATTTATCCAGACTTTTACGATATAAAGGTTGTCACGACTTTGCACATACACATTAATTATTATAATGACTAATAAAGTATAAAGTTTTTTATTATTAATATTTACTGACTTAAAATGATGAAAAATAATAAATAAATGATAAATGGTAAATGGACTGAACTTATAGAACGCTTTATCAAGTCCCTCCGGACCCCAAAGCTCTTCACACTAACAGACATTCACCCATTCACACACTGATGATGGTAAGATACACTGTATCCACAGCTGCTCTGGGGCACACTGACAAAGGTGGGGCTGCCATGCACCGGCGCCACCGGACCTTCTGACCACCATCAGTAGGCAAGGGCGGGTGAAGTGTCTTGCCCAAGGACACAACGCCTGAGACAGCTGGATGGGGGATTGAACCAGCGACCTTCCGGTTCCAGAACGACTCCCCTAACCACTCTGCCACAGCCGCTCATAAATAAATAAAACATCTTCATATGTAACTTAGACTGATGCATATTTGACAATAACACCGGTCCTTACGGATACAGTGTCACTTTTTATAAAAAGGCCAACCTATAGATGCAAAAAACAATTAAAACTTTATCTGCAGTTTATCGGGGTACACCGATAGAAAACAGTCAAACCTTCAGGGCCAGTTGCCTTCAACTGAACTTACTTGAATTATTCAAACTCCAGGCCAATGAAGAATATTACTGATGTCCTCATTCTGTCCAACATTCTCCACTGACCGTAGACACAGATGTTTGCAGATGAGATCTGCAGGTTTATCAGGGACAGAAGCCAGGGTAATAACTTGGCCCAGTCAACAGTTGCTCAGTAGTCGGGTCAAGTCTGGTATTTTGTAGAGTTCAGGACAGTTTTCCCACAGGTGTCTGATCTATGATTGCTTCACCTGGCAGGAACTCTAAACCCGCCAAAGATCCTGCGGCTTTAGGTCTGATCAGCCACAGAGAGAACAGACAGAAGCCYGCAGGCTTTCTGGAGCCATTTTTTAAGATTTAAACTTGTGAACTACATTGATTTGTGTGAAATTCTAGATGGGAGCAGTAGATTTAAGGAACATGGATTACTGCCACACATGTTCAACAGGTCTCCTGCCAAAGACCACTGCAGCACGGAATGTGACATTTTAATGGTTTGGTGCAGACAACAGAAGGACCTGTGCAAAAATCCAGACACTAAACAACATCAGCTGAAGGTGGTGCATGGATCTGTAGCTCTTTGTGACAGTGGGGCATTTCTGAGTTAGAGAGGTAAACTAATATTACTGCAAAGTAACACAAAAAATAAATGCATTTCGAGCATACCCCTTTGGGGCTTCATAGTTTATATGGGAATAGTAAATAAAAGACCCTGTAAGAGTGTCAAGATCTTTTAACCCCCTTCTCCATGGGTGTGGCTTTAACCCTTGTTAACCCTTGGATCCACCTTAGCTGTGGTTTGTGGCAGGTCAACAGAGTATTGCACACAAATAATTTTGATAATGCAGATTGCTGCTCATTGACTGACTGAGCTGTGGAACTTGCAAACTCCACAGACGCCAACTAGTCACAAACATGTCACCAACTACTCACCAACCAGTCACCAACCAGTCACCAAATACTCACCAACCAGTCACCAACCAGTCACCAACTACTCACCAACCAGTCACCAACTACTCACAAACCAGTCACCAACCTGTCACAAATCAGTCACAAACTTGTCACAAACCAGACACAAACTTGTCACCAACCAGCCACAAACCAGTCACAAACCAGCCACCAACCAGTCACCAACAATCACAAATTAGTCTGCAACAGTGCTAACTAGTCACAAAGTAGTTTTCAACAGCCACCAATGGGTATCCAAAATTGGCAGCCCAGTAGAATATTTCCTTTAGGTCTGAAGTTTTGAATGTAATGTTGCACTTCTCCAGTTTCTCCGATGATATACAGCGGGTAAAATTAGTATTGAACACGTCAACATTTTTCTCAGTAAATATATTACTAGAGGTGCTAATGACATGAAATTTTCACCAGA